GCAAATAGCTTAACCTTTGGACTTTCCCTCGGCTAATGGTTTTTTTTTTTTTTTTTTTTTGGATGAACTAGTGTTTTTGGGAAGGTGATATTCATTCACTTTTACAGATGAGAGATCATATTATATGATTAATTGGGATATATGAATTGATGCTTTATGCACAAGAATAAAATGTTGTGATTAGTAAAAAAAATTCAGTCATAGTTTGTCCTGTTATGATTATTTGAAAGATAATGAGTTTACATGCTCCGTAAATTCTTTCTTTTGCACAGATTGCCGTGTTCAAAATTGAAATTAAAAAGTAAAATTGATACGATGTAAAAACGTATTTTCTACCTTGTTATATCATCATCCGCTACCTCCTATTCGCAGCCCTATTCTATCCCTGATTCCCTGCTCTACTCTACTCGAAAAATAGGAGAAATATATAAATCTAAAATGATATCCAGAGAGAGAGGAAAGAAGAAAATTTTAGTACTGTTATGTCTACTTTGTAAGGGATTCCACAATTTCATAACTTCAAAATTTTAAAACAATGAGTTCATATCCATGCACCAAATGCCCAATTGCTGTTAGAAACTCCACAATTCAATCCCCTCATCCAAGAACACCCACATCTAGGAATAAAAAAGCTTCTTATCCTTTCAGTAAAACTAAATCCCTCATCTCCCAGATTTCACTCTCTAGTAGCTGCTCATCCTTCAGTCACCAAAGTAAAGCAGATAATCTCAACCAATGTCTAGCCGAAACAAGAACCTATAGTTCTATTTCTGAAGACAAATATCCCACTATGTCAGAAATTATGGAAGCATCAAGAGCCCAAAATCTTGATCTTCAGCTTCAAAAATTGGGACCCTTTTTTAGAATAACAGCTAGGAGCTTAAAAACACAAAGGGAGCTTGGGAAAGCCGAGGGTTTGATAAGGGTGTGGTTTCAAGGTAAAATTCTACACTTGGATTCCATAAGACTAAAGAGAGAGACATCGGGGATGGAAAAATCAATATTTGGGATTGGCTTGTTTATTGGAGCAGTTGCAATTAGGCATGGTTACGATTCTGGTTGTGGAAAAGCTGAGTTGCTGGCCATTTATGACACTGAGCTTTATCACTCCAAGGTCATTCACCACCCCCTCTTCCATTTCAGTCACAATTTTTGAATTCATGATTTTATTGCATAAAAATGTGTTCTTTGGTGTAATTTTCTTCTTCTGAGTTAGTTATCCTATTGATGCATTGTTTCCCGTCTTTGGACTGGGACCTTAGAGCTTTCAACAACAATTAGGGTCTGGGGAGGATAGTGTGTACCCACACCTTACCCCTGCTCCGACAGGAGTAGATAGGCTATTTCCGAAAGACCCTCGGCTCAAGAAGACGGAAAAGACGAGAAGAGAAGGGAAGGGAAATATATTAGTACCATCAAATAGAAACCAAATAAATAATAACAACTTCACGAGAACTAGAAAATAGTTGAAATGCAATAACAAAATCAGAAAACAAGCCCCAATGTTATGAAAAACATAAGGATAATGTGAAAACAACATGAACCGCTAGCAGTCTAAGACCACCCCTATCGAACTAGCCTCACCCCTGGACTCGACTAGGTCTTAACCTACAACCCTAATGCTCGACCTCCACACCTTCCTATCAAAGGTCATGTCCGCGGAAATCTACAGCAACGCCATGTCCTATTTGATCACCTCTCCCCAATACTTCTTAGGCTGCCCTCTACCTCTTCTCGTTCCCGCCAAGGCCAAACTCTTGCACCTCCTCACACCGGAGCATCAGGGCTCCTCTTCCGCACGTGCTCGAACCATCTGAGTGTCGCTTCCCGCATCTTGTCATCCATAGGAGCCACACTCACCTTCTCCCGAATAACTTCATTCATAATCTTATGCATCCTAGTATGTCCGCACATCCACCTCAACATCCTCATCTCTGCCACTTTCATCTTCTGGATTGGGACCTATGAACTTTATTTATTTATTTATTTATTTATTTATTTTCTACGAGGTTTGTTTTCACAAATCTTGGAGTGAAATGGCTGAATAGTGCGGAATAGATAGATTCATATAACTGACCCAGTTAATTTAAGATTGAGGCTATTGGTTGGTTAATGGTCGTTTTATAGAAATAAAATCAGGAATTGTTCTAAAAATTGAATGAGAGCCGTTAACTAATAGGAGTAACATTTTAATGATGGTTCCTGTAGAAAACTATAGTGTACAACCTGATGGTGATTCTGGTTCTCTTCCTATTAGATTTTCTTTATGATCGAAAAAATCTCGAGGGCCAATTGGTGCACGGTTTGAAATTTAGTGGATAATGGACCAATCCCTCTATCTTTCTCCACTTAAATTTCAGATTTTTGTCTGCATGAGGATCTGAACCCATGCGCCTAATTCACGTATTACACACTGTTCTTACCACTAGATCATGGCCCTGAAAGCCTCATTAGGTGCTTTTACTTCATCATATTAGGTATCACATTTATTGATGTTTACTTTCTAGTTTGTGTTGCTTCAAGTAGAAAAGTGGGTCTCATCTTTGGCTTCTCTTTCAATGTAACAGCTTGTGAGGTTCTACACAAGGATTGGTTTCAAGTCAGTACACCAAGTTACTGGAGAATCACTGGGAGATGTTGGTCACATGTTGGTCTGGGGTGGCGTAGGAACTCGCATGGATGCAGATATTGAAGATCTTCTTGTCAAATGGTGCACAAGATTTAAACCGAAGAGTTAAATTGACTCAAGGATCTCAGTCTCAGTTTTCTTTATAGCACAATCTCTTTTGCCAAAGTTTGAGGTGTATATATGAAAACTGACGATGGGCTACCACTATCCCATCACCACAGACTTCTCAGCTGTGAAATGACTCCCTAATAATCTGAATACTAAAATAAGTGTAGTTTATGTTTTTCTTTTCAAAAGAAGAGTTGTTTCTGCAATATATCAAAATGACGAGCATTTTCACCAAACTTAAAGATCTATAGGATGATGATCTACCAAACATTGTGTGTTTGGCATTTGTATTCTTATAACATTTGTAGACAGACAATAATAATAAACCCAGTATAATTTCACATAGTGGGGTCTGACGAGAGTAGTGTGTATGCAGACCTTGTCTCTACCTTGTGGATAGAGAGGCTTTTTCCGATAAATCTTATAACATTTAAAGAGACCAGGGGGAAAAATCCAATGCCACAATATTAGTTTTCCAATCAAAACGCAACTTTTATCTATCCCTTTAGAAGTTTTTAGGTTCGTCTAAAATAAGGTATGATGCAACAAGATAAAACTCTTAGTATTACTACGTTTTATCTCGTGGAGTATTTGATTCATAAACTGACGGACCCTTTTTTTTCTCCTCTCCTTAGTTTATGAGCAAAAGTGGTGTTTGAATTTGAATTTGGGTATAGTTTTGACATAATTAAGTTTGAGTCTGGTTTTCAAAAAACATCTTGGCATACAATACAAGTACTTAAGTTCATCTACCATTTTTCATTTCAGGACTTCACTTATAAATGCTGAAATGAGAGTTTAAAAAAAAAAAAAAAAAACATGTAAAAAGAATAAAAATTAGGGATTTTTACCTACCTATACTACATATGAAATTAATTTACCTTCCCTAATCAAGTTTTAACTTAATTATATGGTCATATATAATTTACCAATTATATACAAATTATTTTTAAATGAGTATACTATGTAGCCTTTTAATTTAGTAAATCGCAAAAGATTCTCACAATTTCTTATTACCCACACAAACTCCAATCTTTCTAAAGGATTTTCCTCTTTCCCTCTTTGAAATCAACCCTCTTTCTCTACTAATTCTATAATGTTTTTCTTCTAAAACTCATAATTTTTTCCAACAGTGGCGACGAAAGGGGTTAATTTTTTATCGATTTGAATTTTGCCATGGCTGAAGTTTGGAGCTTTTCTGGGCCTCCTTATTTCTTGTTGGTATTCCGATGGCGGGCTAACAATAGATGTATATTAATTATTTGGCTAGATTGTTCGAATTTAATTATCAATCAATAAATTTTGAAGGTGTTTGACTAGGCTGGACATAATTTGGTAAATACCGAATTACCGTACCGAAATCAAAAATTTTGGTATTTGGTATACGGTATTTTGGTATTTGGTTTAAATTTTTTTAAAAAAATTGGTATTAGGTATGGTATTTGGTATTTTAAGATAAAATTACGAAATACCGATGTCGTACCGAAATATATATTATATTACACAAAACATATTATCAATTATAACATAAATATAAAAAAATCTAAAATTTTATTTTCCTTTACTCTCAAAGTTCATCAATTAACTCTAAACAAGCAACAAGACACTTCTAATGATCAAATATTCTTTTATGTACAATTTTCTCTATTTGAGTCCTTATTTGCTAGTTTTGGACAAATTTTTTGTCAACAAACGTTTTGAGTTTTTTGTATTTTTGAGTACTTTAATTAAGAATATTAGAGTGTATCTCTCTATGCACTAGTTAGTATTCAAACCGAATAAAACGAAGTTACCGAACCGAATAAACCGAAAATGAAAGGAGAAAAATCGAACCATACCGAATTTAATTAGGTACGGTATTGGTATAGGATTTTAAGAAACCGAATACTGAAAATACCAAACCGAATACCGTACCATACTGACCGACGGACAACCCTATGTTTGACTCTCCACCATTGACAAGCATTAATTCGAATTCGAATTTTCAAAAAAATATTTTTTGTTTAGATAGTGTGTTATTGCAAATGATTGGAAATATTCTATGGAGTTTATATCTCGATTTCGAAGGTATTTGGTGAAGATTAGATTTGATTTGGATGGATTTTTATATTGAAATTCGAAGAAGAAGTAGAAGAACACCACATACAAAATATATACAATTATATACAAAATACATATTGTATAAAATTTGTATGAAAATTGTATTTAAGTTGTATGATGTTGTAGTTGTGTTTAACTGGGTAAAAATGATGTATGAAAGTTGTAAATAAGTTGTATACTGTATAATTAGTTGTATGATTTATTTTTAGTATGTATGTTGTTGTAGATATATCAAAATTTGTATTAAACTTATATGAAATTTATTTTTATTTTGTATGTTGATGTACCATACATTATTATTTTCTTAAAATATGTAATTATGACAAAGAGAGAGAAGAGTTGCTCTAATTATGGATTAAAATAGGTAATACATAACTAGAAGGAGTCTTATTTAGATGGAAGGACAATTAGAACTTCATTTCCTTCAGTTACGCCCTTTTCCAAGCAAAGAATCCCCTAATTTAAGGCACTAATAATAAATTATATATAAATTATAAGAAAAACTTATTTAGGGTGTGTAATATATAAAACTTGAATAATTTTTGTAAAAAAAAAGTTTCAAATGGGAAGGAAAAAATGTAAAAATTGCACGGGACGCCCTATTTGGTCGCCCCCATTTAACCTATACCCATTTTTTTTAAAAAGTTTTAACCTGTACCCAGTTTTTAAACAACTTCAGCCCCTTTCTTCTCCTCCTTCGTTTTCTTCGTTTTCTTCTTCTTCTTCTTCTTCTTCTTCTTCTTCTTCTTCTTCTTCTTCTTCTTCTTCTTCTTCTTCTTTTAATAACTGAAAGACACTATGATTAATTCTCTAATACTACCACCATTCCATATGTTTGACCTAATTAAGCAGCCTTCAATCAATTATTTTTTGTGTTTATCCTATTTCTCAGCCACTGTTAGTCACTTTTCTGGCATCCTAGAAGTTGAGCCATTGCCACGTTGGAGTGTTTCTTCTGCATTGTTACAAAAGGCAGATACAATAGGATTCACTGCATTGTTTCATAACTTCAATGAAGTATTTCTGTGGTGTGATTCCTGATCATGCTCTTCTATGTTTCAATTTTTGGATGGTGAAAGTTGCTCGTTGGAAGTAGGCAGCTGAAGCGTTAGGTATCTGCATGTAGATTTGAAGAACGACAACCAAATGGCAGGAACTGCTAAAACGTATGCTTTGTATGTCAAATCATGCTGAAGATGCCACATTGTTATGTTTTGGCGAACTTCAGCTCTAGCCAGTTACAAACGAAAACTTCAGCTCTAGAGCTGAAGTTCGTCAGTTACAAAAACAAAAACTTCAGCTCTAGAGCTGAAGTTCGTCAGTTACAAAAACAAAAACTTCAGCTCTAGAGCTGAAGTTCGCCAGTTACCTAGAGCTGAAGTTCACCAGTTACAAAAACAAAAACTTCAGCTCTAGAGCTGAAGCTACGCGAAAAAGTGGGTACACTTGCAATTTTTTTTGCAAAGCGGGCACAAGTTAAAACGTGACCCAAAAAGCGGGTATAGATGCAAATGCCCCGGAAAAAATCCCTAAAAATTAAGTGATTAGTTCATAAAAGTTAAGCTCTTTAATTTGGGAGAAAATAAAAAATAGCCAGATTTACAACTGGTCGTTCAAAAATAGCCCAATTTCAAAAGTAATCGAAATTTAGCCATTTTTCATGTAAAGATAAATCTGAGTGAAAATACTGTTCAAAACCCGGAAAATATGCCAGTATATTATACTGGAGTTCCAACAAGTATAATTGTCCAGTATAATATACTGGAGTTTGGAGCACCAGTGCTCCAGTCTCCAGTATATTATACTGGAGTCAGCAAAGTATACTGGTCCAGCATATACACAGGAGCACCGAACTCCAGTATATTATGCTTGACCGGTCTTTGTTGCAGTAAAATAGTGGCTATTTTTCATTGATTTCATAAACGCTGGCTATTTTTGAATGACCAGTCTGAAAACTGGCTATTCCGTGCTATTTTTACCTTTAATTTCATATCCTAAAAGCAAGCCCGACTAACTATGGATCAGACGTTAAAGCCCACTAATATTGGGCCCATCACTGCATCATCGACCCGAATATATCTAGTTAATACATAAAAATCTACCATCTGATTTACTTAAGCTCCCATGTAGTAGAATTTTTAGCCGTATTGTCGTCTTTGTTCAAGCCCTAATGTCGTCTCGTCGAGAGGGCCGGGATTCTGACTCGAAACGTCACCGTTCCCGATTCGATCAAGAACCCAGGTAACACATTTGGGAACTTATTTCCACTTGCATTTCGAGAAGAATTACAAAATACGCAAATGAGTTTTACTTTTAAAAGAGATAAGGAAGAAGAAAAAATTTGATATTAGTTTGTTATCTAGGAATTTCAGATGCGGTTAGAATTTCCTGTGGTTATAAAGTTTTCTCCTTTTTTCTTTTTGTATCAGTGTTCACATGAAAATTAGTTATGTGAAATTGAGGTATATGTTCAGGACTAAGCTTAACGGACCCCTACCTTGGCTATTGGTTACGTCTGAAAGACTGAAATGAAAGGATTGCTAATAGGAAAAATAGTGGAGTGAGAAAAAAGAACCTTTTTTGGTCTGAGTATAAAGTTTATTGAAGAAAAATAGTAGATGGATTGATGTATAAAAAATCATTGGACTGAGAAAAAAGAACCTTTTTATGGCCGTTGAAATTTAAAGCTTACGGACAAAAAATGGACGGGTTGCTGTATGAAAAATAATGGAGTGATAAAAAGGAAGCATTGTTGATTTTGAGATTTAAAGATAGATATATCTTGAACTACTTCACAACTGGAAAGAGTTAATTTTATTTTGAAAAATTGGGGTTCTATTTTATTAACATTTTGTGCTTTGTTTGGAATTTTACTTAATCTGTAAATGCTGTGTGTTTCGGGCATACAAATCTCGTGTGCTATTAATCTGTATCATATTTGTTCTTGTTAGTCCAAAGAGATCTAGGAAGCACAGTAGACCAGAAGCTGAGAGGCCACCTACCACACACAATTTAGATAGTGGAAACAATTCAGAACGAGATCTAAAACACCACCGCAGGCTGCAAGATGCTGTGCCTCTTGATGCTTCGTCAGCACAAGATTCCAAGTCAGAAAGAACTGCGAAGAAACCATCTGAGAATGTAACAGTTAAAGATGATGGGATCAAAGAGCTGTCTGATCACAATGAAGGATCTCGCCATCGATCATCCAAAAACTCTTCAAACCCAACAGAAGCACCTCGTTCTACATCATATTTTCAGGTTTCTGTGTTTTGTTGACATCATTTTCCTTCTCGTGTCAGTTTGTATTAGATTATGCTTATGCACTATTGGCACGGTAGAACTTTGATGACCAGGTTCTTTGGAGAGGTTTGCTCCTAGAACTCACTTGAAGCACGCCGAAAAACTTAATCATAGTTCCTATTTCAAGAAGAAAAAAAAAGAACTTGATCATAGTTTCTTTTTTCATTCGTGTGCAAAATTTGGATACCGCCACTGGTGTTGGTGGAGAGGGGTTGGGGAGTGGAATTCAGCTTAGCTAGAGAACTAATGAAACCAGAGAATCCTTCTTTTAACTTTAATTTTTTTCATTTATATTTTTAAGCAGTTATATTTGATTTGATTTGTCTGTATCTAGATAATTTGGTGTGTTCAATTTGAGCATCGTAAGAATAATGTTGCTTCGTTCCTTTCCTCCCAGTTCTTTCTTATTACTCAGCCTCATTAAGAAACTACAATTTTAATTCTTAAAGAAAGAACAATGTTGCTTAAAAATAAAATATATATGCTATGTATCAAAAAAATAAATAAAATAAATTACAGCTTCTGAACTTGAGTAGACGAAGATAGATTTGCCTCAAACTAGTGCATTGATTTTGTTTATCTGTTTTTGTTCCTTATATTGGGGCTGATGTTGTGGGATTGTTCAGCCTGTTGATTCCAAGTAGATCCGTGTATATAACAATGTTAGACTTGCCTGTGCATGTCTTATAACAGCACGATGAGCGTGGTAGTGCTGGGCAAGTTGATCGAAGCTCCAGGCATAAGGCAGCAACTGGTGAGTTTCCACATATTATCCTAGCATTTTGATGAGTATTGAACTTTCCATTATTTTTTTTCCTTTTTCTTTGCCGAGGAGCAAAAGCAAGGATTGGACCGTTGTATGACCTCTAACTCTTGATGTCTCACTTGACTTGGTGATCAGATCTTTATATTCTGTCATGAGAGACCTCTTTATCTATTGCTTGGTGCTGTGATAGGAATTTAAATTTGTTATCAGTACGTTATTATTTTCTTTTATAATGGTGGTTTCCATGCCAGGTTTAGCGCATCTCAATTATTGCACCGGCTACCTGCTACCTCCCACCAGTATAGATATTTTGCCCACCAAGACTTAGGCAACGAAGATGAAATCACCTAGTGTTTTTTTTTTCTCTGCTAGAATTTGAATCCTTGTCTCCTAGGTTTGCATTCACTTCATTGGTCACTAGGCCACGCCCTTGGTGCAAGTACCTTATATTCTTATTCTGCTAAATCACATGATCTTTGAAAAGCAGGAAATGCCTGATAGCAGAGTTAGCTAAAGATATCTGTGAAAAACTTTTCTTTCCTACCTGCGTGTTTTTTATTTGGATTTTCCTACCTGCCTATTACAAATTATTCACAACATATAATTGCCATCTTATGTTTCCCGTGAAGAGCGAGGATGGTGGAAAGATCCGAAAGGGCACTGGAACAGAACGACAACAACTGATAAGCAGATGAATGATGAGAAGAGCAAAGTTTCAGGCAAACAAAGTGATGTTTGGCGCCATGACAGGTACTTCGAAGTAAAGGAAGATCCTAAACCACCTGTGAAGAAAAGGTCATTTAGGGAAGAAAAGATTCCAGTGGATACTGAGAAAGTTGAGAAAGCAGCAACGGAGCTTGTTAAGCCTAATCCTTCGCACCCTGTGGTAGATGGAGGAAGAAAGAATGAAAGAGCTGAGCACATGTCACGTCATCCTGGTAGATATGAGAGACCATTTACTGGTGAGAGGGATGCAAACAGGGGTGAAGCATGGAGGGGCAAGTTTCCACCAAGAGACAGGTATCACGGCAATGGTGACTACAGGGCGCGAGATAGATTCAATTCAAGGCAAGGACATTATCAAAGTAAGGTGGCTGAGAAGTGGAAACATGATCTTTATGATGAGGCCAACAAGAGTCCAACTCCAAAGAATGAAGACGATCAAATAGCCAAAATTGAAGAACTATTGGCTTCGTAGACGCCTCATCCTGCGATGAAGTGTAGTAGTTTCCTTTTCTTTTTTTTCCTCAAAAAAGCTAGGGGAAACTATTACTGATGATCAAAGCTAGTGTTGTACAATCCACTCAACTATGATTTTAAGCAACTCAAATCTTCATTAGTTGCTTGGATTTGTGTTCAGTTTACTCCTAGTTGATAAGATTTTAGCTGTGAACTTGAAGGACGTAGCTCAAGATACTGTTTTTAGTTGCATTTTGGGAACATTGATTAATGAGGCACCAAAGATTGACTACAACATGGACCCATGTTCATTTTGGATTCTTCTGTTCGGAATTATTGAATTCATCTTTGGTTAATGAAGTCTGAAGGAAGACTGCATACAGCATTATCTTTGCATATACCACTTTCTTTGTAGTTCCCACTTTCAGTCGCCCCTAATGCCGAAGTTAAGTTCAGATCTGTGATATCGACCTCAACCCTTGCGGAAAGAAAAAGAGAAAGAAAAGTCGACATGAACAGCAAAGGCAATTGTTCAATTAGTGAGGAATCCTGTTGCACTTCTTTAACAAAATGCAATATATAAGTAAATAAAAGTTAGATGACTTTCACTGTTTCACATAATATATAAAAGTTAAATTCTCTTCCCAACTCCTTAATTGAAATTATGAACCGAGGTTCCTCCAAAACCTAAACCAAGAAAGGCATGGTTGTGATCATGCTAATATGCAGCTTGCGAAGATTAGGTGAGGACCTTGAGCGAACAACTGAATACAGAGATCTCAGGTCATATGTGCAGGCCAAAACTAGCTTATGATGTCTTCTGATTCAGGTTCGTACAAAATATTTTAGTGCTCACATCTCTTTGAACATATTCTTGTACACGTCTGCCTCTTCACTGCAATTTCTAATAAAAAAGTTTCTATGGCAAAACAAAAGAAACATTAGAAAGACAGCTTGTTATGTGTCGTATACATCTTCCTCGAGCCTGTGATGGGCCGTTCACATCTCCCCTTCAACTAATAGCAGGGACCAACGTCAACTTGCGGTCAAGACTGAAAGCTACATATATCCTGTAGATAGAGCTGCTATTCGTCTCTCCTTTTAACATAGAATTTCTGAGAAATAGAGTTAAACGAACCTTCAGAAATAAGTCGTACAGATAGTACTTTGGTCATGGTTAGATTCTGCATGCATCACTACTGTACATGGGTGATGAATGCCTTATCCAGTTTTCTTTTTATAAAAAAAAATACTGATAAAAAATAAAAAGAAGAAAGAAACAGACTTCTTTTACAACTGAATTTGGTATCACATTTCTGTGAATATTAAGCCCTGATCAAGTGGTTCCTGATTGAAAGTTCAATCTAATTTAGGAACAGCCAAACATAAAAGGTACCTTTAACTCTACTGCTTATGGAGATCCTCAATGTCTGTTAGAGGAGCTGCACTGCTGATGGAGCGCTTATCTGGTAGATTAACCACCAATTGACCACAGGCACCGCTTATATCTCGGCCCATTTCCTTGCGAACAGTTGTGCGAATATCATAGGTATCCCTCAATATTTTCTGAAACGTGGTGACTTTCTGATTGGTACTGGTACTGAAATGACTTAATGATCCAATTGGATTAAAAGGTATGAGATTCACAACCTGTGAGAATATTTTGAAGTCAATGCAAAGCGATTGTTACCAAATTTTTTGCGACTAAAAGACGAAATGAACTGTTTAGCTATATAGGTGTTAGCCCCCCACTGTCTGATCGATCAATATAGTCTCCCCCCCCCTCCCCC